TCCTAATGGTCACAAACCTATGGGAACACTTTGGACATGTCAAATAAAACTAAAAACACCTGATAGAACATTCAAATGATGGAAAACCCCTATACATCAAAATTTGACCACCCGGGTGCCATTTCCCAAAATGGACCATAAACCCCCAAAATGCACAAATCATACAAGAGTGGTCACAAATCAATCTAAATACCATGTATTTATATAAATACATATGCTAAACATTTTCACTTGGCTCAGAGCTCCTTGTGGGCCCACGCACCCACTCTCTCTATCCAAGGTGTATGTTTGCCCATAGCACATCATTTGCAATGCAACCACTTTACATTTGCTTATAAAATCACATATATATCAAAATAAATATCTGCTTGTAATAGAAACTTGGTCTACTAAGTAAATCCATCAAAACCACACACCATAACCAAGTTTCCTAGCCACAAGTCTACAAACAGACAAAAATTCATACACAAGCACACAATCCACACATATTCACACACACATACATAATCATATCCTACTGGCACCCTAATCTTAAATACATTACAATATATTTGCTCAAAAGAAAGGAGTTGCAATTCTTTACAAATCACAAGCAAACCCCTAGCTTTGCTCCTTTCCTCGTCCACCACTGGATCCTTCGCCTGGAGCTAGAATATTGAAAAGAAAGGGGTGAGACAACCACAGTCTCAGTAACAGCAAAATCTACATTGATTATTACAAAGTAAGCCATAAATTTAACATAGTATATAATTTAGCCATTTAAAATGCATAAATGCATGACCTAGGCCGGTATGGCCTTTCATGACCAACAGAATGCCCCTGGCACTCTTTAACTCGCAGGTAAACCTTATATCCAGTTGTACCTCCACAGGCATAAAACATAATCTAAGGCATGATCTAATCCACCGAACCGCCTATGCCCCATCGACGTGAATCCTGAGCAGTTAAAGCTAACTCCCTCCTAGAGCCAGCCCGACTTACTCTCCATGTGAGGGCTACCTTGGCCTAGGCACTCAACCTCACATTTCATATGTCGGATTCCTTCCCCCACTGAGAGGTGTCGAACACTCAATACACTAACCACTTTAATGCACTGAGCCCACAATACGTAAGATAACACTGAGTATTGACAGTGTGCCATAAAATATCAAAAATCCACACCTTCTCATTGGTGAACTCCCACCAAGATCAAGCCTTTTACTCTTGTCTACCTTTCCCGAGTATTGACCACTTCAACACTCTAAGGTAGTATAACATTTATAAATCTCCCTTAAACGATTCCTTAGCCTATCTAAGGTACTTACTTAGTTACACTTGCTTAAGTGCAACTTTTATTCCTTATGATTAAAATACATGTAAACAAATCTCGTTTCCATAAAAATATTGTTATTAAATAATTAGAAAATATATTTGCACTATAATCAAATAAGTACCCCATAACCCCTTATAAAGCACATTTAATCTTTTAAAACATATAATGCATGATAGTTAGTAATATTTATTCAAAAATAGCTAAAATAGAGTAATAAAAAATATAAATTTCCCCTATTACCTCAACCCTTTGATACCAAAAGGGTTCCCCTTGTATAAAATAGGGCTCAGCTTGTTCCTTAATTTCTGAACAAATTCCACCAACAATTCCTACAACATATAAGTGATCCACATCACTTATCATGTCAAATAGCATTAATGAAGACAATAACTCATACCACACAACTTGGGTCTATGAGCCATAATCTATCCCAATGGTCCATATATTAAACCAACCATTCACGTAGTATCACTTAATCACCAAAACCATTTATTAGCCATCACTAGGCTAATTTTCAATTTTTATAATTTTTTAATCAATTAAAAACCTTTACTTAGTGCCACCAACTTTCACCATTAGCCCTTATAATGAAAATCAAACCTTAATTTAATATTGGGTTCAAATAGCAAAATTATAACTAAATCAATAGGCTTAAACCATTGAGGAGCAAAAACCCAATTTCTCAGTGTTTATTTTGTGCCCAAAACACCTCTTTTCATCCAATTATCCACTCAAAACATTAGATCACTATATAGAAACTCAAAACATGCTCCCTAGGATCCAAAGAAACAAAAGCTTACAAGAATAAAGCCTTTGGGATCAAAATCCAAAAATTTTTTCTTCTAAAAATTGAAGAAAATCAAGAAAAAGAGAAGAGGATTAAAGTAGGAAGTTTATCTATCGTGTAGCCGAGCTCGCAACGGTCGCAAAGACTCCTAGATCCAAACCTAACTCCCTCCCTTTCTCTTCTCTTTTTCCTCTCTCTCTCTCTCCCATTTGTGCGTTTCTTTCCTTGTTCATTTTCTCTGCGTTTCTGCATCTGTTTTCCCCTTATAAAAGCTGATCTAAAAGTTTGTGGAAAATTACAAGAAATGGCCCAACATTTTTTATTATTGCATAAAAGCTCGGGTCAACTTTTGTAATTTTTTCCATAGTTAAAAATCAAATAAAACTAAACTTTTGCTTAGTAAAATTCAAATTCTGGACCTTTATCAAATTATTCTAAATTTTAATTTAATTATAGATATTTTATTTTATTTTTATAAATCCGAGTTTTAAAATTTCGAAATGTTACAATCTACTTGGTCAAAGTCTTTTAGAAGGGTATGACTCTAGGTGATGCCATATAGGAGACTGAGAACAAGATGAAGTAGTTATACCCACATTTGTTCTCATAGGTAGATGGTTATGTGAGATTTCAAATCAGCAAAATTCTTAAAAGGAGGAGAGAATTATAACATCTTTAATTTTAAACTTTGAATTTTTAGTGTTTAAAAGGGATAAATTAGTAAAATTAAGTGATTAATAAGTTAATAATATTTTCAAACTACTAATGAGGTTATTAGGTTATTAGACAACCTTAGAAGAGGGTTCGATTGGAGTTTGTAGGTAGGTGACTGGAGTTCATGCGGACTGGGCATCAAGTGAGGCTTAAATTTCACCTTAGGCTCACTATGCCATCCACCGCGGCAAATATGCCAATTGCTGTGACAAATATGCAAAAATATAGTTTTGTCATATGCTCGTGTGAGTGTTTAAAAACAAAAGAGAGGGAAAGAGTAAATGGGAAGAGCGATGGAAAAAGGGCATGGAGCTACTAAGGCTACACTTAGATAAGCCTTTTAGCTACTCTCTTCCTCCCATATGTGAAATTTCTATTAGTTTGGGAAGTGCTATGTGTTATTTTTGTCTCTCCTTGAGTTTAGACCGAATTCATTGGTTTATTTAGAGTGTTAGGGAGTTAAATCAAGCTTGTAAACCTTGATTTAAGGCTTTTATAATGATCTAAATTTTTTGGTTAGGGTTTGGACGAACTGTAAGTAAAAATGACAAGATTAGGAGTAATGTGGGTGAAAAATTGATGTTATTCAAGTGTTTGAGTGTTAAATGGAATTATTAGAAGGTTTTGGAAGTGTTAATCTTGCTAAAGAGGAAATTTAGGTATAGTGGTACCTAAAATTAGGCCAAAAAGGGGTTTAATTAGAGTTATAATTGATTATTGATATTTAATTATGCAGATTAAATATTGATTGAACCCCATTGAATTAGTGAACTATTGTTAAGTAGCTTTTGCCATGGTAACCCTTTTTGTGACAAAAGAGTTGAGGTAACCAAATGATCTAAACTTACTATTTATGTGTTCAAATGGTTGTGGAAATTGTGGTAATACCTATATCGTTGTTTTGAACTAGTATATTATTAATATGTATTTAATTGTGACTAGAAATACTATGTGAAATGGAATGTACTCTTATAATTACATATTTGGGTTTTTGAAAGGGGTTCATGCCAAAATCATAAGTGAATATACTAGTAAAATTGTACGATTTGTTATGGTAATTGATGTTTTGGAATAATTCACATGTGTGTGACAATGTGAATTGAAATATATGAGCATCATCATTGTGAAAGGGTGAGAATTCACCTTAAAGTTGTCAGAAGATATTGTTTGAAATTCATATGGTATATTGACACCATAGAGGTCTTGATGTTTAGTCTTACCTTGTTTGAAAATCTCAATACTATTTGAAATAGATTGGACATACGACACCCTTAGGCCTCGTTTGGTATAATAGAAGAGTTTTTAATGGAATCAGAATCAAAATTGGAATTGAAATCGAAATCAAAATCGAAATAGAATTGAGTTTTAAAAGTGTGTTGGGTGTGAAGATGGAATTCTAATATAATATTAATTTGTATATGTACCTAAAATAAGAAAAGACGAAATTGCCTTTTTTTCTCAAAATTAAAAAGACCTACCTTGTTATAAATGGACAAAAAAAGATGAGGATAGTGGAGTTCACAAATTGAATTCAAGGGAATTGAAGCAATTCCATGGTCAATATGATAAAATTAAATTCTAGCATTTTTGATGGAATTAAGATTATTAGGAATTGCAACTCTTGCATACCAATCATGCTTAAATTAGGATTCCATCTTTGATTTCATTTCCACCTTGTCAATTCAATGCTACCAAACATAACCTTAATGTTTAAGAGAGGGAATCTAAGGTTCAAAAATGTATTATAATAATCTTATACATGAAATTATTTAATCTGTTTATCTTAACAGTATGATACAATATACTTTGATAATGTCAAAGCAAACATTACACATAACATTACACAAATAATCTCTCTCATTATATTCTTTTCTCTAAATTGAGTAACCAACCTAGAAAAATTAGATAGTGAGGATTTATCTCTTTTGCATAGTAGAAAAACAATTTAAAAATTTATTTTTCAAAGTAGTACTTCTTCCATTCTCAAATCATTAAAGTTTAACATTATAATATATTAAAGTTTAACATTATAATATATAGATAAGATTTGAGATAAATATACTTTTCAAAGGGATAAGTGAAACTTTTTAAGGGAGCAAATGATTTTTTTTTTTTTTTGCAAGTGGGGACAATTATAATTTTTTGAAGAGGGCAAAGATAATATTTAAGTATGTCTAATTCTTTTTACCTTTCCTGGTGGGGGCAATTGTCCATAAATGTGTCATTTCACTTGTTCCTATATCTTTTTTTTTTTTACATCGAAAGAAATTACATTACAAAGGTAAAAGTACATAAAAAGCCAAATAAAAATAAAATAAAATTCCGGATTAAGATATCTAAAACTAAGGGGACTGGGGAAAGAGAAACACATAGAAGCAGAAAAGTTAAAATGAGGGAAAATTTGCAGCAAGGAGATCTTTGATTTGACTACATAACTTTGCCCTTTCATTGCTGGAATTTGAAAATGAAATCGCCGATAACATGAAATGTGCAAGTCCTCAAGTGGAAATAAATAGTTTGCCACTATAAGCAAGGATTCATAAAATGGAGGGGTGATGGCAAGAGTTGAAGAAATAAGGAAAATCACTTCTTTTCTTTTCTTTGTTTTTGTTTTTGTTTTTTTGTTTTTACCTCCAGCCAAATGTCTTCTTTTTTTGTTTTTTCTTTTCTAGAAATAAGAAATAAATAGTTTTTTGTTTTTTGTTTTTTCGACAATAATTTGAAAGTGAAATTGGGAGATCAAATTATACCTCAAGTGAAAAAGTTTAGATATTTGGGAGCTATTATTCAAAATGATGGCGAAATCAGTGGAGATATTTCACATAGAATTCAAGCTGGGTGGTTTAATTGGAGAAAAGCTAAAGGAGTTATTTGTGACCGTAAGGTGCCTAATAAACTTAAAGGAAAGTTTTATCACACTGCTATCAGACCGGCAATGTTATATAGTAGTGAATGTTGGGCTCTAACGGGACAGCAAGAGCATAAAGTTGGAGTAGCAGAGATGAGAATGTTATGATGGATGTGCAGACATACACGTAAAGATAAAATTTGAAATGAGCACGTACGCGAAAAAGTGAGGGTGACACCTATTGAGGAAAAATGGTAGAAAATCGGTTGAGATGGTTTGGGCATGCACAAAGAAGACCAAGGGAGGCACCAGTGAGAAGAGTGGAACATATAACTTTGAGTCCGATTAAGAGAGGTAGAGGAAGGCCTAAGAGAACACTCTTGGAAGTTGTTGAACGCGAGCTCTTAATTAATAATATTCCTAAAAGCTTGATAAATGATAGAACACAATGGCGTCTTGCAATCCATGTAGCCGACCCCACCTAGTGGGATAAAAGCTTGTTGTTGTTGTTGTTGTACCTCCAGCCAAATGTCTGTAAGATTGAATCCTGAAAGGAAATGGAAAACAAGAAAATTGAGTAGTCAGATATCTTATTACTCCAAATACCCCATCCTATTGACTGAAGAAGATTGCAACTACTAAACAAAGATAAACCAAATGTTCATCGAGTCTTGTTAACATCAAAATTTAAGGTACTATCTAGCTTACAAATATTTTAAAAAAGAAAATAAGTTGATAAAATTCCTAGATCACATCAGCTGGTTGGCTAGAAAAACCATTGTGTAAAAAAGCATTTTTCTTCCTCCAAATAAGAGAAATTAGAATGGTGAACTACTTGATGATGGAAAATTGATTATCCTTAAAAAGAGACGAATGGACAATCATGAGATTTTGAAAATTACTTTTAGGTAGCAAATTATCAATTTTGACTGATAAAGCACCAAACCAAATTGGTGAAAGGATAGGAAACAAAGACATGATTAATAGATTCATCATCATTATAACCAAAAACACACTTGATGTTCTGCAAATGGTGATGCTTTAAAACATCACTGGATGGCATGATCTTGGTAGATGCCTTCCATGTGAGCAAAAGATATTTCCCAGGAAGATCTAGTCTCCTTAAGGGCTTCTAAGGGAAAGGAAACAGGTTATCAAGAGAAATTTCCTGTACCAAAACTCATAGGAGCCTGCTTTGACTAGGTAATTACCTGAGGGGCTCCCTAGCCAAGTCAATTTAACTTGTTGATCATTAGCAGAGATTGGAAAGACAAGAATCTGATGCAAATCAGTAACTTGGCAATATAATTTTTGTTCCATTTTAATGGCTGCCAAGGTACAGAGGGAGTGGTAATAAAGTCTGAGACATTCTTGGGTACATACAACAACAAAACAACAACAACAACAAGCCTTTATCCCACTAGGTAGGGTCTCCTTAAGGGCTTCTAAGGGAAAGGAAACAGGTTATCAAGAGAAATTTCTTGTACCAAAACTCGTAGGAGCCTGCTTTGACTAGGTAATTACCTGAGGGGCTCCCTAGCCAAGTCAATTTAACTTGTTGATCATTAGCAGAGATTGGAAAGACGAGAATCTGATGCAAATCAGTAACTTGGCAATATAATCTTTGTTCCATTTTAATGGCTGCCAAGGTACAGAGGGAGTGGTAATAAAGTTTGAGACATTCTTGGGTACATACAACAACAAAACAGCAACAACAACAAGCCTTTATCCCACTAGGTGGGGTCGGCTACATGAATTGCAAGACGCCATTGTGCTCTATCATTTATCAAGCTTTTAGGAATATTATTAATTAAGAGATCGCGTTCAACAACTTCCAAGAGTGTTCTCTTAGGCCTTCCTCTACCCCTCTTAATCGGACTCAGTTATATGTTCCACTTTTCTCACTGGTGCTTCCCTTGATCTTTTTTGTACATGCCCAAATCATCTCAACCGATTTTCTACCATTTTTTCCTCAATAAGTGCTACCCTCATTTTCTACCATTCTTGGGTACATAATAAAATAAAATTTCCATAAGTTAGTGATTACAACAACACGCATGTAACCTTCAGGGAGTAGTAGTGAACATGAAGAAAACCGACAAAATTATTATTAATTATTAATTCCAAGGTTGAGTAGTGCTAAATATATAGATTATTTTCCCCTATCTGGAAAACTCTGATCATGATTATGTCGCAGATATAACAAGATAAGAACGCTTCAACTACATAACGTACATGTAACGGGATGGTGGAAGAGAAATTATACTGCAGAAATAAAATATCAATAATGCAATTCATCAAAACACCCACCTTCCCTCTCTGCTTAAATCCAAAATGAGATCGACCCAGTGATGCAAATTTCCTAAGACGTAATCAGATTCAAGAGCTTCTCCAGTGCTTCTTGATAAACTCTCCAGCACTACCTTCAGCACAAGGAATAGGATAACATCCCCAACCTAAAAGAACAATGTACTCATTAAATTTTCTAGTCATTCCACCTGCATAATGGCTTTTGGAAGCTCATAAATTTTAACCAGAGATTGCCACTAGGACAACCTTCTCCTCAGACTGTTTTCCTCCCAAGCAAAGATTGAACTGATTCTCAAAAAACTCTGGCATGAAGAAATTTCTGGAATTAGTTCTTTCACATTAGATGTGTTCCCCTTTCCAGCTGCACTGAACCAAGTATCCTTTACACTGCTGAAAAGACAATCAGCATGGTCAAACTGGCAGCCACCTTGAAGCCATGAATTACCTGTACTGAAAGAGGGAAGGTGAAGAAGATAGAAGAGGACAATTCCAGCACTCGAATAATGTGATTGATGGAATCTCTTTTGCTGCACAAACCTATAAGAGGAGAAATAGGAAGCTACAAACCTATAAGAGGAGAAATAGGAAAACACAAGAAAAAGGAATAGCACCTTTAGGAGGGGCTGAATGTTGACTTTGCTATTCTTACTTGTAAGAGAAAAGCTATATAGACTTGGTATTGGCCTCGGGGGTTTTAGGTTTGTCTTAACAAAAAATGACATTGGAGATTGTGCAAGGTACTTTTGGTGTTATAGTAGCCACTAGTGTCTTTTGGAGGGCAAGTCATATTTTGTATTTTGAGTGAGAGGACAAACTGGCTGTCGAAAACCAGAGGATGTTCTGTTGAATATTTTGATTATTGTAAGGAATAGGGTTTGCTTTGAATCAGTGGAGTGTCTTTGTAACACTGATTTAGTCTTTTGGAATCATTAATATCAAACCTTAGCATTTCCCTTGATCTGTTGGCTGTTTTATTGTTGTTATTTCTGTATTTTTTAGTGTTAAACAGCAGGGTTTCATCAGTGATCCATAATGAAACTTTGGAATCTCTAGATCATCCCAGCTCTCACGCATGATGAGGAAAATTATAATATGATACATCAGACGAGGGGAAAGAACTTCCTAAGATCAGATTTCAGAGATATTCTTTTTTTCTTTTTATCATATAATTGTTAAAACATCTTAAGTGAAGAACATGCCCAAATATTATAATAGCAAATGCAAAGCCAGTATAATGTTCTCATGTTTCTTTCCAGACATTCTAAGTTCAATCAAATCAATATGTTCTAGTGATTCCCCATCTGCATGCTTCTACAAACTAAAAACAGTTTAAATATGATCTATATTAGTAACAAAGCAACAAAGTCCATGACGAAAGAAAAAATAGTAAATTAGTAACACAAGAAGTTAAGAACACTCAGAGCCAACCTTTTGGTTTATCAAGCTAGCAAAATGTTTTTGGATTGGACATCCAGATTTTCACTTTCATAACCCGCAAGAACCCAAGGATCCCGCCAAGGTGTTTAGATGCATGAGGTTATTTCTCCATTCCGCCACACTTTTTAAAGGATTTGGCCATTATTTAAAAAGACAGCTGGCATCCATTATTTTCTTGTTTTGATGATCCTGAAGTAGCTGTGTCCAACCTGATGCTATGCAGACAATCAATTTAGAAATGGAAAGGATAGGTCAGCTTCTCAAGCACCAAAATGTAGCCCCACATGGAGAGAAAGGGATCAAGTACAGCAATTACAGAATGTATTATAAATCACAAAGAAAATTGACAAGAAAAATGTATAAGCAGAAAGCAAAACATGAAAGAGGAGAAAGTCATGCATTCTATTTCGGGAAAGATTCATGGCAACTGGGTTTCAGAAAAACTATTCACTCTCCTTTTGTGGAAAACCAGGAGATCATTACATTCATCCATGCTTGAATATTTCAATAGCAATAAGACACACCTGATAATCATGCCACAAAATCTCATGAACACTATTAAGTTTCCCATGCGCCAAAGGTGAGGTAAACTGCTGCTGTTTTGCACTTTCTCCTTTCCCCATGCACAACCACTATGGGTCCAAGCCTTGCTCCAACAGAGTACTCAATTTTTGTGCTCCATGATGAATGTGAGTTGGATTGGAAATCAACACTATCGCTAAAAATTTTCTTGACACACATGATCAATAACTGAAAGTTCAAGTTCACTTTCCCTCCCAAAGAAGCACCTAGAAACATCAATATTTAATATACAAATTTTCAATCAAATACGTATTATCAAATAAAGAAAGAAAAAAAGACAAAGGATACATTTTGACTTAGATGATACGAAATAAAATAGTTGAATTTAAATTTACTTTTAACAAAAAGCACACAAAAGCACCTGATTACAGACGAAGATTAGGAACTTTATACCAAAAACATCATTCATCATCCGAAAAGTATGTGATGAGGATGAAAACATATGACTGATCATATTTCACATGATAAGCATCTTATCTTAACCCAGAAGCCATATTCCTTCAAGTGAATGAGAAATATGCTTTATGGAGCTAGCATAGGATGTGGCTATGTGACCAAGTTTATTAACGGTACACAAGCCCTCTTCATTTTAGTGCCAGTTCTCAATTGCAACATCCTCAAGGGAGTTAAGAGCTGTCGAATATTTGGAAAGCAATTTCAATGATCACCAGCAGCAGGAAGGAACCAGCAAAGCCCATGATAATATGTTTTCAACTTTTCATATAATTATCAAAGTAGTCACCAAAAATCTCCACATGAACAGACTCCCTTTTGAAAGTGATGGAATCTGTTTGCATCCCTTACAATGAGGACTCGTTTTGAGACTTTAGATGCTAGCTTAAAGAATGCATGACAATCATTACATATTCGAAGATTCTTCATGATCCGAAGAGGAGTACCCTTAGGAGTAGCAATAAGACCATAACCAAGAGCCAACCTTTCACTATGTCCATATAGCATCTGAATTTTATCCTCTTCCCTAACATTGTGCAAAACAAGCTTCGTTTGAGGCCTGTAGCCTTCTTTATCCTCCAATGACTTTGCAAGCTGAGCTAATTTTAGATAAATGTCATTAGAGTTTGGATGAGATTTGTCCCTTGCCATGAAGGTATGAACCTCATTCCCCACCTCAATCCAACTGCATCCGGGTTGTTTCTTCAATCCATTTTTTCTCATTCTCATCCTCACTTCTTCAACATTGTTCCATCTTCCATCAGCTGCTAGGATATTGGATATTAGTGCATAATTTCCTGAATTCTCAGTATCCAATTGTAAGAGCTGTTCTGCTGCAAGCTCCCCTAATTCTTTATTAGAATGGATCCGACAGGCCCCAAGAAGAGCACACCAGACCTCAGCAGTAGGTTTGATTGGCATATTCTTCACAGTATGATATGCCTCTTCCAAGCAATTTGAACGACCAAGGAGATCAACCAAACAAGCATAATGGTCTGGCCGGGGCTCCATCTGATATTCATGTTTCATAATTGCAAAAAACCTCTTGCCTTCAGTAATCAATCCTGAATGGCTGCATGCATGCAATAAAGCCAAAAAGGTTATATGATCAGGTATAATATTTTCATCAGTCATTTTATTGAATAAATCAATAGCTACAGTTCCATAACCGTGCATTCCATATGCATTAATCATGGAAGTCCATAAAATTATATCTCTCTTTATGACAGAATTAAAAAGCTTTTTGGAATCCCCTAAACTTCCACAGGAAGCGTACATATCCACCAATGAGCTAGCAATTGATCCCTCCAATGGGAAACCATTCCTAATCATAAATCCGTGAATCTCTTTACCTTTCTTCAGTGCAGATAAACTAGCAACGGCAGAGAGTAGGCTAACCAGAGCTACAGAATCAAGTTGTAATTTAGTTTCTTTCAAAGAGTAGAAAAGTTCAAGAGCCTCAATTGCAAGTCCATTATGAACATAACAAGATAACATACTTGTCCAAGACACAATACATTTGGATTCAATAGCTTCAAACATGCGCTTTGCATAATCTATGTGCCCAGTCTCACCATATGCATTGACAATGGCATTTTGAAGTAAAGCATCAGTTAAATCTCTTTTTATAATGTAACCATGAATTTCTTTGATTGAGGTTTTGGACTTCAACCTACCACAAGCCACCAAAATGCTTCCAATCATCATCACATCAATATTTACCCTTTCTACATGGACCATCCGAAACAAATTTAAAGCATCCAGATGGCATTTGTTTTGTGCATAGCCAGCAATAATTGTTGTCCAAGAAATGAAGTCTTTTTCACGCATATTTTCAAAAGCACGACCCATGTATTTTACACAATAACACTTGGCATACATATCTATCAATGTGTTTCCAATCTGCATGTCAGAATTCATTCCATGTCTTATTGCATATGCATGAGCTTCCATTCCACTCGATAGTTTCCCTAATTGACCTGATGCCGCAATCACATTTAGCAGTGACACCTGGTCAGGCCTTTGACCAGAATTCCTCATCTCCTGGAAGTACTTAAAAACATCACAATGTAGGTCATTTTGAACAAAACCTGAAAGCAGTGTGTTCCATGATATATAATCCTTATTATTCATATTTATAAAAACTCTTTCAGCTTCGTCCATGCCACCACATTTTGCATACATGGCAATCAAAGCGTTGGCAACGTATACATCAGCATAATAATGAGATTTCAAGATTACAGCGTGCATCTCCATACCCAGCCTGATGAAGGCTGGATCTTCACAAGCTTGAAGAGTGGCAACCAAAGTATATGTATTACTGGCAAGACCAATACCCTGCATTCTTCTAAATAATGTCAATGCATCTGAGAAACGACCTTCCGTAACATGTGCTACAATTATAGAATTCCATGAAACAACGTCCTCTTTCTCATCTATACTGTCAAATAACAACCTTGCTCCATCGAGATCATTGCACTTCGCATACATAGATATAAGAGCATTAGATACGAATACAAATGCACCATATCCACATTTGATGGCCATACCATGAATTTCAGCACCCAAATGGGGTTCTTTGAGAGCACCACAGGCTTTAAGGACGCAAGGAAAGGTATGCGCATCTAGTGACACACCCAGAGCTCGCATTTCTTCATATAATGCAAGTGCTTTCATATGTTTCCCATCTGATACGTAAGCGCCTAACATGGCGTTCCAAGTAAAAATTGTTCTGTCAGACATTTCATCAAACACCTTCTCCGCATCAAGGGATGAACCACACTTTCCGTACATGTGAACGAGCTTCGTGTTCAGAAAAACAGAATGACACAAGCCACAGGATTTTATCATGCGGCCATGTATCTGCTTCCCTTGTGATAGAGATTTCTGGCTCGCGCAGAGGTCAAGAACCCGAGAATAAGGCTCTTCAAGAGAAAAATGATCTGAACTGTGGTCAGAAGCGAGCAATAGGGTTAATGATTTAAAAGCATCTTTTAGATTTCCTTGCCTGCAATTCTCCTTTAAAAAAGGGATCTTGATGGGTTTATAAGTGAGTCTGGAGCCGTGAACTGGAGGGCTCAGCCAAATTTTTTGGAGCATGGAATGGTTTGCAAGGCACAGGCAGCATTGAGGTGACAATATGGGATTGCAGTGAGCAATGTAAAGCACAGGCATGGGAAAAAAGAGCAATGCCTTCTACCTAGACAAAGATTTCATGCAATCTAAAAACGAATTTGATTGTTTCCGACAAATCCTGTATACTCCTACTGTTAAAGTTTAGTAAGTTTGCTTGGTCTGCTTCTTTGCCAGCAAAGGACTTGGGGGGCTGGGAAAAAGGTGCAATGCCTTCTACCTAGACAAAGATTTCATGCAATCTAAAAACGAATTTGATTGTTTCCGACAAATCCTGTATACTCCTACTGTTAAAGCTTAGTAAGTTTGCTTGGTCTGCTTCTTTGCCAGCAAGGGATTTTTTGGGGGGGACTTTAAATCCAATTTAATGACTTACAATGCTTTTCTACCATATTTTATGATAAATTTAATTTAATATTTAAGACATTATTATAAATATTTATAAAGATATTTTTATAAAATAATCTTCAACATATGTATAGAATATTCTTGAACATTTTAATCTAAACATCTCCACATTTCTTCAAAAAAAATTTAAAATCTTTTAAAAATTTCTAGATCCTTTTGTTTTTCTTCAAATATTTTTAAATTGTTTCATATTCTTTTAAAATATTTCGAAATACATAAGATTCTTCTTGAATATTCTAGAATCTTTTACATCATCTTGAAACTTCAAAAATACCTTAATTTTGTAAGTTATCCTCTTTTTTAATACAAGTTGTGACATGATGTTCTCAATGGAGCCGAATTATATTATACCATCAGTTCACCTTCGAAATTTGGATAGGCTTTTTTACAAAGGGAAAGAAAAATTGAGATGGAAAGGGGAAAAGTGATAGATAAATTTCTCAAAAATTGAGAAATGATAATTTGATCATGTAAAATATAATAATGATATTGAGATCTTAAAAGATTTTTTTTAGATTAAATGTTTGTGTGAAATTATTTTATTACTCCTTTGTGATTTAGGAAGTTGTAACTTTCTAAATCATTTTAATCATTGGTAAAGACAAACTTATAAATACTTATATCAAACTTGTAAATAATATAAAATTAGTTGAACTTTATTAATAAAAAGTTATAATTTTTTAAATTGTTTAGTCATTAGTAGAATTAAACTTGCAAATATTTATACCAAACTTGTTTACTATATAAAATTAGTTGGCCTTTACCTATTGAAGAAAATTACTAATAGAAAGTTGTGATTTTTTAAATCATTTTAATCATTTGTGGAACCAAACTGATGAATAATTATACCAAATTTGTTAATCATATGAAATTAGTTGCTATTGGTATTAAAATAATTTTACACATAAATTTAATCTCAAATAAGTGCCTTAAGACTTCACTGTTATTATCACATTTTATGAGATTAAATTATTATTTTTTTTTATTTTAGAAATATTTTTCTATTATTCTCCTAAGAAAAAATTGAAGGGAAAGAAAAACTAAGTTGAAAAGAAAACTGAAAAAAAATGTTTTCATTCCTTTAAATTTAGATGGACAAAAAGAATTGTTGCAAAAAAATGGACAAGAAAAAAATGAGTAAATATTAAAATAACTATAATATTATTATGTCAAAATATATCATAAAGCATATCTCACCAAAATTTAAGATTAACATAAACTAATAAGTTACCTTAAATCAAAGAACAAGATTTAATATTAAAATATATACTAATATATATTTAGTGGCTGAGAACCTTTGGTTAGTGGGGGTGTTTTAAAGAAATTAAAAATTTATTATTTAAATTTTAAATACAATATGTTTAACTTTTTTTTTAAATTGATTAGCGGATTATATTTGCACTCCTCTATTCAAAATAAAATATATATTTATATTGAAATTTAAATTGTAGCATTACATTGCAATGTTATTTTTTTTCCTAATTGAGTGAGATTGATTTTTTAGTGGGTTTAAAATCTTAAATTTTGTGGGAAAAGTGTAAATGTTTCTTATGCTAACATGCAATTTTTCCCAAGTCAGTGGTATAGGTACGCAAGTGAATACTCCTACCTAATATATCTATACATATATTAAATTAGGATGCAAAAACACACGTGTTAGTGTATTAGTAAGCCAAATCAGCTCCTTGTTTTTTTCTTCCCTCTTGATACGTGGATGCCGGTTTATTAATTTAACAAAAATAAAATAACGTATCCCCAATATATCACTTTGAAACACAATGCACGCATACAATGTATTAATTTTAGGATTTAATTTTTTTAATTTACAGAAAATATGATCATAATTTTATTTTGCGTATAAATTACTTTTTCTAATAGTCAAGTTTGAATTATTATTTCTCCTCAATTTCTCCTTAATTTGTTGACTATGACCATTTTATGCTATATTTAGCAGCAAGACTTGAAGTAATTAATATCTGCATTTTTTTTATTTGTGATTGAATTGTGATTCTATTTTGTGATATATCTTAATTTTGATCTGTGATTAAATTGCAATGATTTAAAGTTAGACTATTTTTTACGGTTTAAAATTTGCAAAATTCCCGTATAGATATCTTTATTGATTTTAAATTACGTCAATGTTTTTGAAATTATTAGGTCAATTTTAAATTAGGCAACCTAGGGAATCTATTTCTTGCACTAATACTTATTTAATTGATTGTTTTGTGAATAATTTGTAAAAGTATGTTTTGTAAAACAATTTAAATGTTTAATGTTTTTGGAAACTCAATGCAAGTGGGTTATGTCGCAAAATGACAAAATATTGTTGAAATAATGATTTTGATTAGATTATGATCTGAGGAATATGATATGTGGAAATGAGCATGACTTACTTATATGATCATAGTAATAGGTGAGAATTTACTTTAGAAGAGTTAACGTATTATTAATATCCACATAAATAGTACCAACACTGTAGATAGATCTGGTGTTTGGCCTTGATTCATTACCTTAATATCACACAATTTAGGTGTGGGGTAGGTTATGCCCTTAATATCACCTGGGATAGGGTGTGAATTAAGGCATCACGACACCCTTGTAATTTGAGATAGGGTTATTTGTAGCTTGAGAGTGAATGTTGTATTTTTGATCAAGTTGCCCCTCATAATTTGTAAGCTTGGGTTATATAATACTTCCAAGAAAATATATATATATATATATATATAAGGTAGGATTCCTCTCAAAGTTTTTGAAAAATTTACATGTTCCCTTCTATTTTGCAAAATGCTAAGTATTTAATTCCCATGTTTAGGTTAAAAAAAAAGTTTGTTGGGTTGCATATACCAATGTAGTAAATCAATTTATTATAGTTCTTTTTATAAATTAATATTATTTGTGATTTTAAACTTTAGCCTTTTTTTTTTGTAATAATAAAGTTTTGCTTGACTACTTTTCTCATAACTAAGAGTGTATTTGGGAGTTTATGATTGAATGGAAAGGAACAGTCATTGATGGAATGTAATGGAATGGAGCAGAGTGGAGTGGAATAAAACAAATTTTTTTATTATTTGGGAGTTTTATGATGGGAAGGAATGGTTTTATATGACCATTGTTTGGAAATTATTATAAAATAAATGGAACAAAACAGTTTAAAACTTTTTTCTTCCAATATTATCCATATAACTAAATTTAAAAATAATAATAATATCCATTAAAAAAATTATAATACTTTTGCAAAAATAATAATAATAATAATAATAGTAATAAAAATTAATGGTTAAACAAGATATTCAAGAATCTATATATATCTATATCTATATCTATATATATATATATAATAGAAGAATAACAAGCACATCTCTATAGATGACAAGTGTCATTTTCTTCAAATACTACAATTTTAGAAAGCCACATAAGATTTCATTTACAAAATTATTTTTAATTCATAAATATAATTTATTTTTATTTTTTCATTTCAGTAACTTCTTAACCTATGATCTAACAATTTCATAATCCCACGATTCCTCTTTTAGATATGGTTAGTTATTCAATATTCTATCATTTTAATAACTTCTTTGCCCTAAATTTAGTTTTTTATCTTTTTAATTCATGCATATAATTAAATTTAAATATGGATAGTTATTTAGATTATTCATTCCAATAACTTCTTAACCCATGATTTAATAATTTCCTAACCCCATGATTCCTCTTTTAGATATGGTTAACTATTCAGTATCCTATCATTCTAATAACCTCCTTGCTCTACGATTTAATTTGTAATTTTTTTAATTCATGCATATAATTAAATTTAAATATGAATAGTTATTTAGATTATTCTATCATTCTAATAACTTCTTAGATTCATGATGTAAAGAGCGTCCTAAATTAGGATTTAATCATCATACTAACCATGGTTAATCAAGGACTAACCCAAATGGATTATCCAATATGAGATTAACCCAAATGAATTCTTAATATGTATTTTTTTAAAAAAATATTTAATATAAAGGGATCCCAAGTCTTTAAAATATTTTAAGAACTCATATCATTCAATTAAACCTATACGGAAGCATGATAATAACTATTTTTACTTGCACAAATATTTTGGCCCGTAATTATAGCACAAGCATCAAACCACATTTCCTAGGGCCCAAAATACATTTCCCCCAACAGAAAACCCATAATGCAAGTGGATCAAGAATATATTATCCTAGTTGGCAATATCATAAACTAAATACACATATCAAATAAAAGGAGAGAAGCCTACAGAAGTGATTATTATCACTTGGCCTAATGCTCCTTTCCTCTATTCTTCTGAGATGAGCTAGCTCCTGTAATATGTTAAAAAAGAGGGATGAGTACAATCACTTAGTAACCAAGGTACATCTAAGTTGTACAAATGCATGGTAATTAATCATGAATGCAAGTGGCTAATACGTTTATCAAAGTGACTATGTAAATAATCACATTAATAACATGTTAATCACATTAACATCTAACTCATATGAATAATCTTAAGAATAAAGTCAAGTACAAACTTTGCACAAATGGCTATATATACATTATTCAGAAAATTAATACATATTCTCATTTCCATAATTATAATCATATTCTCAACATAGCCATCAATCACTCAAATGGCATGATAATAATAATATGCATGATCAATCTCTTCCTTATATCCCCCCTTATTTTCTCTGACATGAAATCCGTGGGCCAACAATCGGAAGGGATCGTCCATGTGGTGAGACTACCTAAAGCCTTAATCATATCATGAGGGGTTACCGGGCCAGGGTTACCTTACTCACTTATGAACACGGTTTCCCCCAAATCACACTCTATGGGGTGTCATACCCAAAACTAGCTCTACCCAAAACTCCAGGTAGG